CGAGCCCTTAGACATACATATGTACATATGTATGTATGAGATCCAAAAGTTATTAACAAGTAGTTATTCTTTAGAAAATTTTATTTTATTTTATCTATTATTATTTTAGTAGATAAAAGTTTTACAGAACACAAATTTTTAGAACATCAATATATACAAAAATAATTGTTTTCTTAGAAAATCATTATTTTTTTTGGTTTATATTAAATTAAATTGAATATTAAATATAAAATTAGTTTGTACATATAATGAAATGTACCAATAAAAGTTCTTTATCGATCCAAAAAAATAAACAACAAAAATGTATGGTGATATATTTTTCCAATTCCCCGGCAGCAAAGTTTAAGCAACTTTAACAATGTATTTTAAAGCTTATAAAAATCGTATCACAATGTACTCGTGAAGACAAACTTTCTTCCAAATACAGCTTATTTTATGCAAATATTTGTTATTCGTGCAGAAGTTATTACTTTGCAAGCTAAAAAGGCTGAAGCTCCAACTGTGCTTCGCACAGTGCATATAGTCTATAGTTTAAAATTTCATTTTTTGTTGTTTACATTCATTATAAATTTAAGGACTTAAATTGGGTGTTTTATTGGCTATAATATAACAATCCATATATGTATGTACATTGTAAAAGAAAACGTTACTCTTTGGACTCCCTTAAAAATTGCAGTAGCTCTGTTTGGAAGTTCGTTTGGCCTTGGCAGCTCACAATTCGCTGGGGCTTCTCTCGCTTTGTTTCCTGGTGTTCCTCCTGTAATTTCTGCTGCTCTTTCTGGACTTCAAGCATTTCCCGAACAATCTCAAGAAGATTTTCCTGTTAGAGCTGCAGTTGGATCTATCCTCGTCGATATAAACGGAATTATTTCGGGACCCCCGAAAATCCGCAGTACTATCAAGACAAATAATCAATGCCAAATGGAAATGGACTGTATCATTTCGACATTCATTAAACATTCGTTCATCATAAAAAATAAAAAAAAAACATACATACATATACATACAGCTTATTTTATGCAAATATTTGTTATTCGTGCAGAAGTTATTACTTTGCAAGCTAAAAAGGCTGAAGCTCCAACTGTGCTTCGCACAGTGCATATAGTCTATAGTTTAAAATTTCATTTTTTGTTGTTTACATTCATTATAAATTTAAGGACTTAAATTGGGTGTTTTATTGGCTATAATATAACAATCCATATATGTATGTACATTGTAAAAGAAAACGTTACTCTTTGGACTCCCTTAAAAATTGCAGTAGCTCTGTTTGGAAGTTCGTTTGGCCTTGGCAGCTCACAATTCGCTGGGGCTTCTCTCGCTTTGTTTCCTGGTGTTCCTCCTGTAATTTCTGCTGCTCTTTCTGGACTTCAAGCATTTCCCGAACAATCTCAAGAAGATTTTCCTGTTAGAGCTGCAGTTGGATCTATCCTCGTCGATATAAACGGAATTATTTCGGGACCCCCGAAAATCCGCAGTACTATCAAGACAAATAATCAATGCCAAATGGAAATGGACTGTATCATTTCGACATTCATTAAACATTCGTTCATCATAAAAAATAAAAAAAAAACATACATACATATGTATATATGTTTACTTATTACCACCATTTTCTGGTTTCTCTGCCTATCGTATTTTTTCTTGTTTTAGTTTTCAACGATCTGAAATTCGAGTTACGGCTTGAAATATGTCTAGCCGCGAACTATTTTTTATTGCCATTCACTGTTTTTAGGGTTGCCTTTGATTACCATCAGATAAATATCGCATAGAAACGTGCGGCTTTCGAACATCCCCGATGGATGGTGGAATAATAGGGAAATTTTCGTAACGGCAAACCTCAGTTAAACACTTACAATTAGTTACAATTACATTAACTACAAAATCTGTATTAACGAATTATTTAACATACCTTGACTGACATTTGTATATATTCTTATGCCGTGTTTATTCAATCGCAAGCAAGATCAAATCTCCTGAACTTTTTACTAAATACTTTACTAAATATTTCCACTCTGAACAAATTGACTTTGACCCATAACACAAATATAAGTTGGTAGTCCGTTCAAATTTTTCGAAGTACTCTTAGGTCGTCTTTGTGTATTATATGTATTGATATATTGTAAAATTAAAAATAAGACAATTCTGAACAAATAAATAATTTTAATTGTGCAAAAAAATATGTAATTTTTGTTTTCATAAAATTAGTTTTAGTATGCACGTGTGGTACTGATAGAAATTTAAAAAAAAAAATATAAAATGTAATCAGAGGTCAAAGATCTTCAAAACTACATACCTACATAACTACAAAACTACAAAAGCTTACCTTTTAAAGGAACAGTAAAATACTATCCATATCCAGCACCCTAGTTCATTTATAAAAATGCATAAGGAGCCCTAGGTCTATTGAAAAAGCTCATTCCCGCTAAGAAGTAAGTAAGAAATGAAGTTTTCGTGACTAATGACTCTCCTCCTATGTAACTATGAGCTAAATAATAAATAAGTGTACATAAACAGAACGCTTGTAGGACCAAACTGTCTCATAAAAGTGTGTTTTAGATTATACTGGCAATAGGTCGCAGCCAAAGAACATTCAAAATTGACACTTTTTTCACTGAGCAGCAATTTACTTAATATTTATGCACATCCTGCATCTTTAAAGTCGAATGTAGCTAAACTACATATGAAACGTATGATTCTTGTTTTGTACTTTTTATATTTCTGGTTTTTTTTAAAGATGTATTCATTGTTGACATTCTTTAATAAAAAAAATGGCTAACAAATAAACAAAAAAGACTGCGGCAGGTATAAGAAGAATACAGACTACAATAGACCAACATTTTGAATACAAAAATTGTATGTGTTGTCGCCCAATATTTCACTCATATACATATAAGGTATATTATTAAATTAAGTTAGTAATACAGCATTGAAATTTGAGTCGCATACGAAATAGTTACTACTAAAGCATGGATTGGGAGGTTGGAGATCGAGCGAAGTGAAGCGAGGGTAAATTAACTATAAAAAGTTTCTTAAAATTCCATGAGGATATCACACACACTTTTTTTAGCTGGTTAATGATCATCACATCATGAGATCGGTTCAAAAAATAATTTATCAGATTGACAGAGCCACGCTGAATTATTTCCTCACTGAAAATGGATGCTGAATTATCATAGTATCAGGGTCGCAAAAATCTTCTATGTCACATAATGTAATGAGGAAGGCGTTAAATGTGTTTTGACAATTAAAAGTTTGAAATTTTGCGATGTAAACTTTGGAATGTTTTTGACTGGAATGATCAAAATGGAGAGATTGAAATGTCGGCGAATGTTGAAAATTTAAATAATGTGATGAATTATTCGTGGAATGAATAATTTTTCGGGGCATATTGAAGATTAAGATGAAAACATGGGTCCGGACGGGTCATTTGTCTGTCAAAGGTTTAAACTAAAAAACCATCGTATCACTTATTTGAGATCACAAAAGATTATCTCTTTTTATAAATACATAGTTATTTTTTAATAGTTTATTTCTTAAAAATTCGCTATATTGAACATGTTTGTACCAAGTTTTTGTCCATTCCAGTAAATAAGTAGTGTAGTCCCCAGCGACAAAGGGGAAACCTGTATTCCATGTACCCCTGCTCCCTGCTTGTGTTTGGTATGGGAACTTCACAAGTTATGCCACCAGTTTGCCTCCAACTTTTCCTTCAGATGCTGTTGCATGCGCGTGTGAGTGTGTGTGCGTGCTGCGGCTCTGTTTGCTTTACGGAGTCGAGAGTCGAAACTTCACCGGAGCGCTAATGTTGTTTTTGTTGATTTTGCTCTTGTGGCGTTCGTCAGTTTGTCCCCCTGCCATCCTACCCTTCGGACTGGACATACAACCCCTGTATTTATTATTATTTTTGCTGGCACCTATGGCATTAGGCAACCAAATTACGGGTATACTGGAAGGTTCATCAGCCGGGCACAGAACGTCCATTCATATCTGGACTTTAATGTTTTCGATCAAAAAGTGCATAAAAATACGAGCTTAGAGGATTTCTGTCATTTTTAACGTTTTATGTGACTTTAAGTATACAACATTTCTAATATATTCTTATAATGAAATGATAAATGGGCATTTCCGCGGATACGTTCGTATGTTTTGATTTACTAAAAAGATAGAAAACAAATATTTTCCCCAGGTTTTTTTTTTGTCGATTCGATAGAATTTTGTTAGTCCTATGTTTACTACAACAGAACGTACGCGAAATATAAGCTGACTTTGGCTTTACCTAATCTAAGCTAAAGCAGTTAACTTATTTTAAAAGAGGATTAATGTAGGTTTCCGCCGATTACTTACACAATAAATTGTCTCTACTGGTATTTTGAAAATTGAATTAAGTACCGGTCGCGAAAGTACGATTTTTCCATGTGTTTTTTTTTACTTTATCACCTCACACTCTCTCATAAAGCACTCCATATTTTCTTAACAAACAACTTAGTTGACTTTTAAGAGACTTTTGGGGGAAACCTTTTATCAGGAATCATCTTTCTAATAGAAGAAAATAGTAAAGGAAAACATGACTATAAATATATGGAAAAGTACCAGAAAAGTTTTCAAATCAAAGATAATAAAATTATATGCCAATTGGTTAAATTAGCTGAGTTTCAATCAATTTAGAAAATAATATCGGGAAAAATGTATATGGAAGTGTGTTTTTATTGACTTTTGTTTTTTGGTTGACATTTCCACGGAAATGCCCAAATGTACGACATAAGCAGTAGGTTGAATACTCGTAATTTAAAGACTAACAATATTGAATAAGTTTGAAAAAATATGAGTGTAGAACTTACAAATTGAAACAAATCAATCAAGATAATTATTGGAGTTCTGTAGAGGCTTTTAAAAATACATACATATGTAGTCAATAACTTTACAAAGTTCAACGATTTTTAATAAATTTAATTATATATTCCATATATATTTTTATTTATTTGTAGATCAGTCTGTGTGCATTCAAAACATAAAGAGCACTGCTAATTGAAAAACTATAGATAATGCTAGTTATAAATAACTATTAATATGTATATAATATACTACTCCTATGTATTAGCGAAAAAATAAAAATAATATATTCCTCTGCAGAGCTTTCAAGCAATCGTGTGTTCAATCCATCTACTTTTTTCAGGCCAAACATAACAATTTTCGCCAAAAAGAAGGCGTGGGCGGCAGCGTGGTGGGCACAAGACCCTCCCAAATGGCCGTATCGAACACATCCTTGACTTTTTCCTGTGAAAGAGGACAAATTAATAATTAAGCATATACAAATAATAAAATGGCTGGTTATGACTATGAGATTTTGTGGCAATTTTTTAGATGACAACGGTTATAAAAATCCATATCAAGTCTCTCATTAAACTTTCGAATGCTCCCAAATACGTTGAACATAGTTAGAACTGCCACTTGAAATTTCCTGCCTTCAGAAGTACATTTCGTATCGTCTTATGCACTGACAAGTCCCCTGATAGCTCTATTAGGGCGTTAGCGTGCACTGTCTGTAGAATCAACGGGCTCAAGCAAAACCAAGGAGAAGTGGATCCGTAGAAGAGCGCAGCCCTCTTCTCGCCCAACCGCCAAAGCGCGCTTCCGAAATTTTGAAAAAAATTTGTAACAGTTAGATCTAACAGTAGTGTGGATACCAAATTTGGTTGCGCTCATCTTAAGGTACAGGCACAGCCGACCAGAAAACGAGTGTTAGAGAGAGGGAGAATGAAATTGTTTTTCTGGTTGTCTGCATACAAAATTTTGTTGCTCTCTCGGGACGGACAGACAGACATGGCTCCATCGACTCGGCTATTGATGCTGATCAAATATATATATCCCTTATGGGGTCGAAAATGCTTCCTTCTAGTTGTTACACAAACCCATTTTCATCAGAAACTTAACATAGACCTATACTCTTTGATTATCGGGTATAAAATGGTAATTTTTTAAGGTTCTTTTTAATTTGTAATCTTTCTTTATTGCAATAAATTCTGTTTGTTACTGATGAACGTGTTTCAAAAATGGTCTATGTTTCTTTGCAGTCTTCCTTTGTCTACATATAGTCCACATGTAAAGGTGATCATCATAATGTGATCCCAACCACCTTGACACCATCGTTTTATAGCTTTTAATTACTTTACTAAACAGCATATGTACGCTTCGAACCAAACCGACTTTTTTTTTATAGCTTTGGGGCTTTTAATTAATTATGGGTTTTTTTTGTGGTGTGTTTTTTTTTTAAGTAGTTCTTTTAGTTCTTTTAGTCGATTCGATGGGCTTCATCGATGGGCTTCATCCACTTTTTAGTTTTCATAATGATAGCTATAACCATGTGGTCGCGAAGGTACGCGGAATATAAGTCGACTTTAGCTTAATCGTAACTGAATATTCCAAATCAGTTAATTTATTTTAAAAGAGGATTAATGTATGTTTCTGCCGAGCATTAACACGATAAATTATCTGTATTGGTGTTTTTAAAAAATGAATTAGGTACCGGTCGCGAACTTACGATTTGCCATTCGTTTACTTGATCACCTAACATTCTTCCACAAATAACTCCATATTTTCTTAACAAACTACTTAGTTGGCTTTTAAGAGAGTCTTTGAGGAAAACCTTTCATCAGGGATAAACCCTCTTATAGAAGAAAATAGTAAAGGAAAACATGACTATAAGTATACGGAAAAGTACCGTAAAAGTGATCTTCTGCTAACCATATTTTAATAGGTTTTCAGATCAGAGGTAATAAAATTATACACCAATTGGTTAAATAAGTCGAGTTTAGAATTATAAAATTTGGTAAATAATATTGGGACAAGAGTATATGGAAATGTGAGTTTATTGACTTTTAATTTGTTGTCCTCGGTTACCATTTCTACGGAAATGCCCATATGCGAGTATATGTCTTATCTACAATCTATTTTCTTTCGCAAGAAACTGTCGCGGTCCACATTATCATTATCATTATCATCATCGCCAACATCTGGTAGCAGATGTCGTATTATTTCTTGCGTTCGATTCATCTTCGGGCAACCAAGTGTTGCCACCATTAGGGAAATATGCAAAGATTCTTTGCCAAAGAGTGCAATGCACTGCTGCCAGGTCCGGCGGGCAGTGACAGTGAGCAAAGTCATTCATTCGGAAGTGCTGGGGCAAACAAAGGTGTCACCAGAGCCTTTTTATACCGGGCCCGAAGGAAGCGTTTCCGACCCCATATAGCACGAATATATACTTTCCTCTTATCCCAGCTCTCCCCCTGCTCTTTCCGCGCACCGAAAACCGCACAATTGTGATAATTGTTTAGGTGTGTGCATGTTGTCGCTCAACGTTACGAGGCAACTCAAAGGGATGACACCCTGCGAATCTCGCATAGCGCAGATCCATCCCCGATACTAGTACGAGTAAGTGCTTCAACATCTTTGGGATGTTTCATTTGATCTTTGAGGGATTATTTGTCGCTAAAAAACCCCAGAACCCCAGAAACCCAGAACCGCAGAAAAGACTGCTCGCTTTTATTATGTTCTCTTCATTAAAAAGTGGGTATCCGCTAGCTCAAACACTCCACGATTTGATTAAGACATATTTTTTAAGTGTTTAAACTAGAGAGCCGCAATGGAGTCGTTGTTGGACCCAGAACCAGAGCAATGACTTTTCTGTCTTTTGGCTGTATACTCGTATTATATGATGTTTTCTCCTCTCCAGTCCCCTCTCCAAAGTCGTTTTGCGTGCTTCTGTGGCCCGCTTCCCAAGAAATGGCGAGAGATGGACTCACCTGTGTGGCTGACGAAGTTTCAATGTATTTTGCACCAATTGTTGTTGCCAAATCCCAGGCGTCTGCATATGAAATTGCTTTCTCACCGTTTGTCTGCAAAGCGGAATTAAAAGGGAGGACGAGAAAAAGGGGGAAAAAACGTTAGCTCGAATCAGATTACATCAAACAAGATTTTCATAAATATTTGAGTCGCAGAGCGGCAGATAAATTATGATGAAATACCTAGAAGCTCTTCTTCAGACACGGACAGCACCGGTACCGACACCGGAATAACAAAATAAATCAAATCCGAAAAAAGCTGCAGTACACCTCACCTGAAGTTTGTTCAGGACACTCTGATTTCCGCGTAGATCGGCTTGGGTTCCCACGAGAATCAGGGCCGCCTTGGCCTTGGCGAACTTCGGTGCCCACTTCGATTTTATGGCCCGAAACGTTTCCGGCTTGACTACTGAAAAGCATAGCAGAAAGACGTCGCTGTCCGGGTAGCAAAGCTCGCGCAATGGATCTAAAGTGTCCTGACCGGCGGTATCACAGAGGGTCAAGTGCACCGGACTTTCGTTCACATTGACATCGGCTGGAGGGATACAATGAGTGTGGTTTTGAACAACAGCAAGGTGTTAAATAAAATATATTGATCAGCATCAATAAAATATACGCTGCGATTTGCATAACATACACTATGGAACACCTCTTTCAATTAAATATACATTTACATATTTCCATTGGATTCACCAAATGCGAGTACCTTTGCGTATGATTGCGTATCATTGCGTATCATTGCGTATCATTGCGCCTTGCCACTAAAAACTCTACACAAGCCACGGGAGCAGAAGTCAGCAGAGCCTGGTCAAACTGTCCACTGCAGACCACTGCATTCGTATTTGTTTCTGCTTTGTTCCCTGTTTATTTGCCAAATGAATCAATCAGTGTGTGAGCCCCCTTCGGTTTGGTTTGGTTGGGTTTCGGTCGCATTGCTGGTTCAATTTAATTGCAAAATATGTAAATTGCTCGTCAGGCTGCACCGCTGCCCGCTGCCCCTCTGCCCGCACTCTCCGATTGAATTTTGCTGTTGGAATTTAATTTATTTTAAAATGCTTATGCTCGGCCAAGGCTGTCCGTATCCATCCTTTGACCCTTTACGGAAGTGCACATTTTTGGGATACCATTTTAGACGGTCGGACGCGCACAAGGTGGCTCTTTGCCCCAAACGCATGCTCGCATCCACACGCACACACACACATGCACACACACACACAGATCAGTATTGGAAATGCCAGAAATTTGCCAATTCATTTGCCCCCAACCTCCTCTGTGCCTCTATGCCTCTATGCCTCTATGCCTCTATGGCTTTGATATGTCCTTTGTTCCCTAGCTTAGGTATAGATATTAATTAGCTCCTTGGAGCATACGGCTGTTTGCCAGCACAGAACCAACTAATATATCAGATGAAGATTTAATTGCGAGTATAAATCCCATTAAGTACGATTGAAGATTATCTTGTAATTGTAATCATTTGTAGCTCTTGGCGCGACTCAAGGCGAGAGTTCAGCGGTAATGGTGCACAGCCACACCTTCCATTCTCAAAACGGGATCTTAATATGGGTTGCAGCCGCGGACAGTTAGCATCTTCAATGCCTTGTCCTCAGTATTGAACAAAAATATTGCCTCTGGGCTACCTGTAATTCTAGACAGAGCTTACTGTTGCGGAGGTCTCTGTGAATAAAACAAACAATGGGCGCCTGGTAAACTACAAATGCACCTTAAAGTTTCAGCGGAAACCACAAACTATTTGCTCGCTCTTAGTGAAAAATTCTACTCTCAAAATGCTCTGCACTGACTCGTACGAGTACCGTAGTAGTGTATTCCAGCCGCACATGGAATCACATATGTACGAGTATGTAGGAGTATAAATAATGACAGCTCGAACTGTGGGCCGGCACATTTCCCACTGGCATCACAAAAAGAACCAAAGTACCCTTTACTTCTCTAACTCATTTATAAATGTCTGAATACTCGTTGCTTAAAGTAAAAAAAATATTCTTTAGAGTAAATTTACTTTCCGGAGAACTGCTATGAATTTTGCACACTAGTGCTTTTCTATACTCAAAGGGTACAGACGTATTAAAGTCGGTGCTTTTAACGTGAGCACCTGATGTATTGGCTTTTCCTCACGGTGCCAAGCACCAGGATTAATTTAGGCGTCAATCAGCGCCGCATTGGGACATTGTCCCGCTGGTGCGAGCTGGAGCCGGTCTGCTTTGGCCAAGACTTCCTCCCTGTCTTGGACCGATGCGCAGTGGGCAAAAAACAGTCAATTGTTGTGCAAATTGTTGTTGCTTAATGGTGGAATAATCAAAGGATTTTGTTGGACATTTTTTATTTTTTTTTTTTAATTTTTTTTTTTTTTTATTTAGCATAAATTATGTTATGTTTGATTTATTTTTTGTTGACAGTAGCAGAATGAAAAAATTATTTCAATTTAAATATGAATAATGCACACATTGCACTACGAAGAGTGCGTGTGAGAGAGAAAGAGAAAGAATGAGTAGGCGTCACACAAGACGGACGGAAGGACATCCTGTACTAATTTTGAGTATCGGGTATTACAAAAGTGTTGTCCTGGTCGATGCCGTGCCAGCTCTATCATAGTGAGACCTCTTGGCGAAAACTCCCCGATTCCCCCCAATTCGGAGAGCATTTTTTCCCAGTCAATGCATTGAGTGATACTGAAGATCATTTTCAATATTTAAAATTGAATTTTAAATTTTAACAAAACGACTTCTACTTTCTATAAATTTTACATAAAAACGGAAAAGAATTTCAAAAAATCCGAAAAAGTTTTTAGGGTCATGTTTTGCGTTGTTTTTGTCGAAGCTTCCGTAATTTTGAACAGAATCCGATTTAAGCAGACCACAGCAGATATTCTTCCAGGTACAATTTCTTCCAACGCCATTTGCCAACCGATCCCTCTGACCAAGTGGGGGAGTGGCCTGGGCCTGTTGCGTCTTGGGTGTATAAGCAGGTGGGAAAAACATAAAAATTTTGAGATTACTGACGCAACCGTTCATGTCTAGAAGGAACATTCATGTTTAAGCGTCAGCGAAAATGAGTTGAGCGGGGGGCTGGTACATATGTATACATATGTATGTACATACATACATAATTTTTATGTACGAGTACGTACATATGTTTGAAGAGTGGGGAGAGTGGGGAGTGGAAAGTGGGGGTTTCGGATTGTTTTGGCACGCCCCGACGGGAAAATTTGACCTCGTCCTATCTAAAAGATAATCATGGCAGCCTTTTATTCATTGCAACGCTGCTCCACTACCACTGCTGTCGCTGAAAGCTCCTCCAACTGCTTGCTCTGTGTAAATAAAGCTGGATGACTGGCTTTCGCTGGGATTTTTTCAGCAGCATGCTGCATGTTGCATGCAGCAGGAGGAACATCAAGCAGCACCAGGCAGCACCGGTCGCCAGACCCATGACGCCGGGGCTCATGTAAAATAGATTTAATTTGTGCGCCGCATAAAACTCATGAATACATTTCGGGTTGCCACGGCTACTCCCACTACCAAGCTGAACCGACCCGAACCGACCCGACCCGACCCGACCCGACCCGAACCAAACTGTACCGAACCTTAGCATTCCATCCTATTCCGCCCGACTTGACTTGATGTTAATGGGGATTGCTTTGCAGTGCTGTGCTGTGCTGTGCTGTGCTGTGCTGTGTCCCGTCCTGTCCTATTCCGTCTTCTCTTTCCTTTGTACTATGTAGCTGAAGTCCTGCCACCAATCGTAATTTCGCGAGGTGAAATAATTTTCAAAAAGTAAAAGTGAAAATCAATGCCGGAGCACCCTCACAACACACACAAAGCATTGAATGCTGTTTTCTCGTTACCCACTCACTCACTTGCTCGCTCGTTCACTGAGGCACTGCCACAAAGGAGAATTGTTTGCCATCTCAGCTGAAAATCGCATTTCGCGAAGGCCATCTCAAACAAAGAGGGGATAATAGAGTGGCTAGTAGCGAGAGCGGCAAGTGCTAGGACTAAGAACTCCGTAGTCGAGATTCAGACTAGCAGATACCCGATGGCCGAATATACAGAAAACATCCGAATTTAGTGTAGAATACTGCTTGCCGTGAAAGGTATGGCAGTAGAGCAATACGAGTACTTCTTTTCTGTTACCTTCAATGGCTTGAATAGTTAGCCGGTCGCATTCGATATCTCTTGCCAGAGCAAAGTAAAGTAATGCTCGTAATGGCTCTAGCTATTCTAGTCACCAAGATCACCTAGACATCACTACTATGGATCAAGAATATACACATCGATATGACTAACAATACACATATTCGTAAGTGCTGAAATGCTTGGAGTACCTCCTTGCGTTGTCGTGTCCTCATTTCAATACCCTGTGCAAGGGTAAGAAAAGAAAACCGAGCTAAAAGAAGAAAGAAAAAGGGGAGCAGACCAGGACAAAAGGAAAAGTATCGCTGGCGGTTCCTTGGATGTGACTGGATCCATGTCTGAGGAGCTGTGTCCATGGAAAGGGAGCAGCTCTGTAATTATGGGCTCAAAAGTCAGTAGGCCCCTCAGGGTCTTTCCCCAGATCCAACGCCCGAAAAAGCTTCTGACTCAGCACTATTCACACCCAATTGAGTCTGAGACGATCTTCCTCTCTTCCTTTGTCCGTCTGTCTGTTTGTCTGTTCTTTTTCTCTTCACAATTGACTGAAAACGGTTGGTTTTATAGCTGTAGAAGTCCATTTTGTGGAGAAATCTGTTGTTGCCATACGTCCCACAACTGATGTGAAATTGTCTTCAAATAAAAGAAAGTTGAGGCTGCAGAAATAGTTTAGTTGAATCTGCCCAAATACGAGTGCACTTTACAATATTATGCCATGTGAGAACATGGCATGTTGTCTGAGCAGCAGGCAAATCAATTTTGAGCCAGAGTGGACGGACCACTCCACTATGGAGATTTAAATCCCTCAAAAATTGAAAACCGCCAAGACCTGATTAAATTTGTTTGATAATCTTAACCAGTCGGGTTTTTACTACGTGCTTTGAGCTTTGAACCGTATCTAGTAGTTGTGATGTCTTCGTAGGTTGAAGGTTAAAGTGGCCTTCAACATGTGCAACTTGTAATGAAAATTAATTTTTGAAAAGCTGTACAAAGTGGGGCCTACCTAGTCCCACCCTGAAACCTTTTCTGTTTCGTAGATTAATAAGTTCTTATTGATATGTACATACATATATAGTAAGAAATGCCAATTTTTACCCAAATTCTTGAAATTGGCATTAATAGATCATAACCTCAAATTCGAAAATGCAGAGTTGTTTGCCGTATGGAATTCAGAGAAGGGTAAAATTATCAATTATTTGAAAACGGCTCTTACGGCTACACATCATATGAAATTAAAAAAGCTTTTGAAGATACCAGCAAGAAAATTTGATATCGCTTGGCAACATAACGGAACAAATGCCGGTCAAAATAAGTGGATTGGCCACAAGCCTTAAAGTCAGTGGGACGCCCTGTATTGTTATATACCAAAAAAGGTCGCAGAGCAAAAAGTAGGCAGGCTGCAGATCTTGTTGTATCAGAGGGAGGAAGCATCAATTTATTGATTCAAGCGGCAAGCATGGCCGCCCGAAAACGAGGCAAATACGATCGCGTATTTATTACAATACTTGTATCTTTATGCCCAGAGAATGCTAAATTTGTTCTGTACAGGACCCAGTCGGAAAGCCGCACCTATCTCACCCAACGAGGCGTTAGCCCCGCTTCTAGACAAGGATCTCAGCTATAATTTACGGGAACATTCAAACAATTTTATTTTTATTTAAATCAACATTTTTCTTTTTTAATAAAAATGCTAAAAATATGCTCAATACTTGACTAATAATTTAAATATGCATTATTAAAAAAGGGCGGTGGCACACCCATTTTTTTTCTTGAATCCACTTCTCATTGATTATATAAATCCAATACAAAAAACTAAATAAAGAAATCTTATTTCGTTCGGGAGTTATTAATTTTGGCCAACAAAAGTGATCGTTCGGACCATAGTGCACTCGTGGAGAAGCAGGACTAGATCAATTGCACTACAGTCACAGCCTAGGCTGAGACACAGAAGGGCTGCCAAAAGCGGCATCAGCGGCGGCAGAAGGGAATTCGGCCGGCCGCCAGCCAGGACAAAGGCAACTTTTTGCACGCTGTCCTTCAGTTGAAATGCCGAAAATTTCAATTTTCTGTTCATTAAAATCAGTGAATAGCCCCACGCACACATAGCAGCTCTAATACTCTAATACACACACACACACGCACACACGCACGCTCGGGCACACACAAGCACACAAGGGCACGCATATATACAATGTACGAGTCTCACAATGCGGAAGCAGTGAAAGTCAAAAGACGGTTCCCGAGGAGGCTGGCCCACACCCACACCCACACCCACAGCCGGCAGCAGCTGAACATCCTTCTTGCCTACTTCGCTCAGCTGTGCACATCTCTCACACTGAAAACCTAGGAAAGAGTTCACAAATTGATTTTCAACAAAATGAAAAATTCATATACGCGCCAGCCAGCCCAGCTAAAACCAATCCAAAAGCAAGCCAAGAAAGACGAGTGGCAGGCAGCAGGCACCCTTGACTCACCCATAAACCTGTTGAAAAGCGCATCCAGCACCGGTCTCCCTTACCTCACTCAGAGACCCGGCACCTTTAAGATAGGCGAAAACTTACCTTTATAAATATCTGAGGCCGTTGGGATGTGCTCTGGATTAAAACTGTTCTCCAGATATGACAGTATCAAGTTGGTTTTGCCCACAGCTCCGTCTCCGACGAGCACGCACTTAATTGAAGGCTGCGTGGCGGTGCCAGCTGGAAAGCGAGGCAGAAGTACATATTTAGAGAGGGAATTAGTCTATGGGAATATATGCGAATATATACATGTGTGTAACTTGTATCGGTTGTATCAGTTGTAGACATGTTGGACATTATCTGGTATCAGGCTACCAAGTCTAAGTACTCTCTCAGGAACAACATCGCCCGCAACATAGCCGTGTCCAATGCTCTGCAGTCGCACAGGGAAAACGACTGGGAGAGAATCACGACTGAGAACTGCGAGCGCCAGCAACGCACAGCTTAGTAGGGCAGAATAAGGCCCGAAAAGCACAAAAGCTAAACAGAGGCATGAATGTGAGTCCCAAGCTAATCGCTACAATTATACCATTCCATATTTTTCCCCCCAAGAAGGCCAACAGAAGAGAAATTCAGCTACACATGGAAATTTTTGTCTGGACATCAAAATGTATTCAAAGTTTACTAATCTACTTTTAACTTACTGCCGATTCGGCTATTGATGCGGATCAAGAATAAATATACTTTGTGGGGTCGGAAACGCTTCCTTCTGCACGTTACATACATCCACTTTCACCACAAGTCTAACATACCCCTATACCAATTTTGAGTATCGGGTATAAAAATGCGGAAGCTCACTATACATATTGATCTTAGCCCAGCGTTGGATAATGAGTCAGTAGCTGATGACATTATAATCAAGAGAATGAATTGAACAATTGACCAGAAAAACTTGTCCAGAAAAAGAGGAAATCGCTCCGGGAATAGCAGTCACCAGCCCTACAACCTCACCATTTAATGATGGCATACTGTGGAAGCTTGCTTGCTCTGTGCTTTGGATCTGATCCGACCATAGTGTTGTTTACCTGAAGACGTCCACTAGCCTACTTTCAAAGTGTCGCTCGAAGAAAGCGTAGAACGTCCGCACACCCATCATCGCTATCATTTCGTAATACGTCGGCAGATAGTGAACAGGCGATCGCCGATCTCTTTGCCCAATTTTTCCAAACATCCTATTCTCAAGAAAGCTACTCTGCTCAGCCGTACTTATACGGCTTGCCGTCGAACGGCATTTTCAGCCCTTTGTTATCTTAGCTAGAGTGCTCTGACTCGCTTTGTCATAAAAGCCTAGGAAAACCGTCCGGAAGGCTACTTCTGCAGTACCACAGGGCAGGCTCTTACTTTGTACACTCTTTATTAAAGACCTGCTTTCGGTTTTAACATGCTCTCGAGTACTCAGGTGTGTATGCATGCGTATGATGTTAGCCACAAGGACTTACAAAAAAAAAGCACAACTAGCGAATCAAACTATTTAATACCGCACCCTAATCACCTTGACTGAAAGGTAACCCGAGTTTATAATATCAAGAGGAAGGTTTTTAAAATCGTCCATGGGCGTGGCAACTCATTTTTCAAAATGGCAAATCGCATTTAAGTTTTGTTAGCTATTTTTTATAATAGCAATAAGTTAAAGTTGCTCTCAATGTAGTTTTGTCCCACATATTTGTATTAGGGGAGTTCAAATTGTATTTTAATACTAACGGTTGGGCTTTAGCACTTCTAGAGATATACTCTTATGGCAATGCCAGACAAAGCATACTCACCGTTTGTGCCACCATTTGCGGCAGTTTTTGATCCGTCATTCGGTGACGCTGGTGCTGCTGTCTTCTTCGATTTACGTTTCCGTAACAAGAATTTGGATCCTTTACTACTGCTTGCAGCGCAGGAATGCTGTCAAGGAATGGAGAATAGAAACAGATAAAGATGTATGTATGTATATGCGCAGTATATGTATATGTACAAAGTTGAAGGTGTTGAATTTAGCGCCCCATCAAAATTTGGTTCTGCATTGCGCATATATATGCTGTATTAAATAATTCCAGGCTCGACTCTTCTGCCTCGCTCGAATAATTCAATATTCACGTTTAAATTAGCTAGGCCGACGCCCGGCCGCCAGAGGAGGACTGCCAGGGAGCAGGCACAGCAGCGCGCAAGTGGCAGCAGTGGTAGACTTTTCCGATTTCTTGATGCCTCGTGACCGACACACCACACACCCTTTCGCCCTGTGCCTTCCCCTGCGGCAGGTTTTTTTTCCCCTTTACCTTTTATATCTGCTCTTTTCTTTTGTCTCATAGCATTGGCTTAGCACAATTTCCTTCTATTCTTTCGCCCAAAAAACTGTCCTTTTGTTTCCATCTCCCGCAAAATTCAAAATGTTTTTAGGAGGAGGAAAAAAATGTTTTTAATACCACGACGTAATGTCGCGACTCTACATTTATACCCGGATACCCGACACTAAGTCAGTCTGGCTCCTTTTCGGCACATTGTACGACGAAGAGTGCGTGAGAAAGAGAGAGAGAAAAGGCGCGTGGCGAATTGATTTTTCCGTCTTGCCATCCGATCTGATCCAGATTCCGAATGGTCAGATAAGGTCATTCTCTACGATTCTGCGTTTTTGGTTATCTCGTATCTTCGAAATGGTGGATGGCACAGATTTTCGTCTTTTGTGGGCGCGAAAAGGGGCGTGGAAAAATTGTAAAATAAACTTGTAACAGTGAGATTGGAGGTCATAAGAGAGGAAAACAACGTATAAAATTAGCAACAAACAAAAATTTGTAGATTAACTTTCGCTGATTTCAATACAATAAAAGTTCATGAAAATCAGTTAGCTTTGCTTCAATAAATTTATGTGTTTTTATTGAGTTTACTGGCTCTTTATGTTCGTCTCGGCGGACCTCTCTATGGAAAGCCAAGATGTAAAACATATATACACTTTTAGGTAGATACTATCAGCCAGGCTCCGTTTTTCACATCCACAAAAGTTTTCCGATTTACTTTTGAAATCACATAAATTGGGGCTCTCTTTTTCCCATTCCGCAAGATTTCTTCGTTTTCAAAACGAAAACATTTTCGTTGACGAAATGAAAAGTAAACGGCTTTTTATACAACAAAACGAACCTTAATTGCAAAAGGAAAAAAATAGATGACTTATTGATGCATTAACCTAAACTTGATACCTATATCAGGGTAATTTAACTTGTGTTTTCTTTATAAATAATTTTATTTTAACCCAACCTAAAATTTGACTCGGAAAAAATTGGCCACAGCAACAACAAATTTCGTTTTGGTGTAAGCAGCTGACGCATTCCGATTTGGTTATCGGAACGTTGGCAATTGATAAATTTTTGCGTATAACAGCACAAATGTGCATGTAACAGCTCAGACTGTGCTTGTAACATGCGCTCAACAGAAAATCTGGGTGAGCACAGCTGTTTCCCGCCCAATTTAATTCGGACTTCAAAATGTAACATATCGATAAAAAAAATATGTGAAAAATGGAACACCTTAAAACGAAAACGAAACGTTTTGGCTGAAAACTTAATCCGCAAAAGTAAATGAAAAACGGAGCCTGCCTGTATATATCGATTATTCTTATCCACGCCACGCCATCACACATATGTAGCTTCATTGCTAGCCTTTACTATTGCGACGGTCAGGGTCAGGGTCAGGGTCAGTGTGTACAAATATCCTTTTAATCTATTCATTGGACAGACTGTGCACTATGGGAAAAACTTAATTTTTTGGCATAAATACATAAAATACAATTTATATTTTGTATTGTTCAGAATTTAAAATAAATCAAAGAATCTTTGAAAATTAGCAAGGAATACTCCCCATATTTATATCATCGGTCAAAGCGTCGCAATCCTTACCAAAAAAAAAATCCAGAAAATATTTTTACCCAACCTCAAGTTTGGCTCGGAAATAATAGGTCAGGGCAACTAAACTTTTCTTTTTCGTGCGAACAGCTGACGCTGCCCGAACTCGGCTATCGGAACGCTGGCAAGAAGCGAATGTTTGCCCGTAACAGCACAGACTGTGCTCGTAACATGCGCGTAACAGAACATCTGGGCAAAGACAGATTAATTTTCAGTTTGCACGCTGCTACTCACAGTTCGCCAGACATGTTAAATGTGCAGTTGTTGGTCCGCAGGTGTCTTAAGGACACCTTTTTGTTTTTGTTCCGAAACAAGCTGTATCGATGAGAAACATATCGAAAGCAAAACTTTGTAGAGCACCTCAAAACGAAAAAGATAACGTTTTTTCTAAAAACTTAAAACTTAAAAGTAAGTGAAAAATCGGGCCTGTCTGATCAGCATAAATTCACTGAATTAGAATGGATATGCCCCTTATTCCATCACCCGTAGCACTATGCAGAAGCATTTGTATGCCTCGAGCAAAGCCGACTTTTTCTTATGGATTAAGGTCCTCAAAATTGTTTAGTGATTTATGGTCTTTTTCGTATGGCAAGGTTTTTTTTTTAATTAAAAAAAAAAATGGTTTTCTAATATTTTTGAGATGTATATTTTTTTAAATACCTTGAGTATGGTACAAAAGTCCATAAAGTCAAAATTTTGACGAAAAAAATATCTCAAGAAAAGTATCTATTTTGAATTTGAATTCTTAATACATACTTCCCAAAGTTCGTTCCAAAAAATGAATTTCGGATTAAAGAAAAAAAATTTGTTTTTTGTCCAGTGTAAACAGAAGTAACAGAATCGAATTTGACCTCGATTCAGACCTAAAGAAATCAGCTATTCCGAAATAGCTCAAAATTAAGTTACCAACAAAAAAAAAAACTAATTATCTTTACTAGTATTCGAGCGAGGCATTGCAATGTTTAAAGTCACCACAAACCTTTTGCATTTAATACATTTTTCAAGCATTTAACTTATGAATTGATAAAAAAACAGATTGCAGTTATTTTTATTTGCCGTTGTTGATTAAATTAAAGCGTTTAATTTAAATATTGGAAGCCCATGCATCGAATGGCTCTCGACAGCGGCGATAGGCATATCAAGGGACAAGAAGAGAGGGAGCTGGTGGCAGAGCAGCGGCAGCGATAATCGATAGCTACACGCTGTGCGTTTCGGAAAAAATCCTGTCTCAAATAGTGCCTCAGCTCTTCGAGCAATAGCTGGGAGACGTGACTAGAGAGATGCGGCTAACCACACTAATCTCTGTCTTTGCAGCAAAGACAGCAAAGTCTGACGCCATATGCCGCTAAGACTAGCTTGCAGACACAGCTTAAAGCGCCGATCATCAATATGTATATTCATTCCATTCCTCTGCGGTGGGGCAGTCGACGGCTCTCCTTCTACTTGGCTAGGACAAGTCCTCCGGTTATCCTTCAGAAGTCGTCCAGAACTGCTGCATCGGCCGCGAATGCGAATCAATCGAGAAACAACTGCCAATTACCGCCAGCTGCCAAGTTATCGACTTATCGATTCCGCCCCATTGAGACCCCACACTGCCCCAATGGTAGAGCAATTGCCGCAGCGCTTTGTATGTCGACTCCTTCCGGGTGATGCTGTTGCTTTTACTGTTAGAGGCAGAACATGTTTTCGAGACGCTGTCTAAATCAGTTCCTAAATTTCTCTGAGTTTTTTCCTTTTCAGCTTTGGAAGCACGGAGACGGGCTCCGTTTCCAGCTCCGCCTTCCGCACTTCGACTCCCATCGATACACTCTCGCTTTCCATTTCCGCTTGCTAGGCGATAATACGTACAATATCTTTCTCCCACCAGCCAGCGCAGGTGGAGGAAGGAAGAAGGATGCGTGGCCAGACCCGAGGCGAAAATAAAACTCAAAAAAGGGCAAGAGGACAAAAAGTGTACGTACAGAACTAGATCTGGATTAAAGCTGAGTGCACTAAAAGTTTAAATTTTAATGTTCATTTCAATATATGTATGTATTCACATAAGTTCTGAAATATCAAAGTAGTTTGAGATTGAGAACAACAAGCTCAAAATCTGCGGCACAGATCACACGAGATTGGCTGTGGATCATTCAGATATTTATGGGAAATACTTATATTCCTTCCATGTACTCATCATGTAAGACCAAAGGGAAAATTGTTTGCAATAATGCAATAATATTATTGATATTATAATTTGTAAACAGTGACTCCATTCGACCTTTGTTCTCTCAATGTAACGATTAAAATAGGACTAATCGTACATATGTATGGACATACATATGTAGACTCCTACACACAGCTAAGACTAACATTAATCAGCCAACCCACAGCGATGCAGATTATTGGAATGGTCATGAGGGCTGATACATTTTTATACCGGTGTATATTAGATTTGTGGGGAAAGTGGCAGCATTTCCGACCCCATAAAGTCTATCTATTCTCGATCAACAACAATAGCCTAGTCGATGTAGCCATGTCTGTCTGTCCGTCACTAGAGAGCCTAGAACTCAGAAACTATAAGAGCTATAGGAGAAACCAAATGTTGTATCCAGACTCCTGTGATGTCGCACTGTTAGAAGTGCATTTCAAGTGTCGCCTCCCTTTTTCTTTAAAATTGCTGACTGAAAATATTTCTTTTATTTTTTGCCCATTTTTGGTAAGTCACGAAAACCGAAAGTCAAAGCCAAGTTTGTCCTTTCTAGCAAATTTTTCCGAGCAAAAGGAGAAATCTGAAAACTTCCATTTGCCGTCGAGTGGGAGATGAAGTACGAGTGGGAGTGGGAGTGTGAGTGTGAGTGTACTCGTAACTACGAACGTGGTTGGGTGGGTATGCCTCGCAAGTATGTACGTGATGTATGTAAGACCCGTCCATTCTCTTCCGCAACAACACCAGGCCAGACCAGGGCAGACCACAGTGCACCACACCACACCAGAGAATGCCAAGAAGCTGCTTGCGATGCCCAGGGCAGAACA